TTTGCAAGAGTCTTTGCATTTATTGGTTCAGTTTAAAGTTGAGAAAAAAAAATCCTTATTTATTCTGACATTTACAAGACAAAAAACATAAAAAGCTTGCATTCTTAAATCAACAAATGCTGAATGAATTCTTTATTTCTGCCATAAAAATCTTTTTTCGAGTTGAGCATGAGCTTCATTGAAAAAGACCATCCCTATTGAAGGGGAGACAACTTAAGAAATTCTGCACGTAGATATATACACACAATTCCCATACATGCTTCAAGTCATTCAAACGTCTTGGGAAAAAACTTCCATCGAAACAAATGGCCCATTGAGGAAGAGAACAATATGCACTTTTCCACACTTTCAAAGATCGTCTGTTTAACATTTTTTTCATAATTGTGTGAAATTGGGGTTAATCATCAAAAGTCTGCAAGGGGCATGTGTTAACAATCATTGGAAGTGCAGGCTTCCCAAAGACAATAGGATCTTTAATTCTTTTATCTTCTTTACAAGTTCTTATTTTGCTGAACGCTGAACATCCTTGCAGGTGTACTTCAGCACTACAAATAAATGAATGCTGCAAAAGGGACATAACTCTACACAAGTCTTTAACAATACCTTAAAATAAATATTTTAAATTGCCTTCTTATGTGTAGATCGTTACAAAATAAATATACTTGGGTAAAGACTTCACAATTTTCAACAAACAGAAATCAAAGAAAAATAATTAGTCTTCAAGTAAAATGAACATTGTCATTCATCCCTTTTTAAAATAAGAATGAAAAATAATGAAAAAATACAAAAACTTCTTTGTTATACTTGTGGAGACCAGCTCCTACAAAAGTAATGAATTTTGATTGACAACAACAAAAGCTGGAGATGTGAAACAATTAGCAGGGCTGGAATGTTGTTTGAGGTACCCCCTGATGACACCCAACAGTTGCCAAAGCTGAAGGCAAAATAAACTTGTAAGCCTCTTTGTTTATTCTTGCTGAAACAATAACCATACCAGCTGCCTCAGGGTCTCATTATACAAACTTTCTCACAGTCCGTTATAATATGCACATTAGAAGTCATTAAAACATATGCAGAATTTTACAGATGCAATCAAAAGAGAATTTCTAAATAATTTTCTCTACAGTACATGTCAAAAGACATTTCTTCCGCTTTTATGTCATTCTCTCCATTCGCGTTTATTTAAAAAAATAAGAAAATAAAATCCTAGAGCTTTAACTCCTGTAGGTCCATTAATGCAATCTTCCTTAATAGTAGTGTCTTGTTTTAAATTCTTACAATGCTGATTTCAAAGTCATAAAAAGTAAATTATGATTGAATTTGTTCAGAATCTTGCAACACAAAGACAACTATCCGGAATGTCGCAATAAAAAATTCCAGCGGATTAATGCCTCATTCCCCTTTTATATCCTTTTATTTAGTGCTCAGAATTGAAGTAATTCTGTAAATTTCCCCTCAAAGTCTAGAAACCACAATAAACGTCGAATATTTCCGACACAATAGATCCATAAATGAATGGAAAAATGCAATAAAAAGCTAGATAATGATTGGATAAAAGGTTGTTGCAATAAAAGCAAAATTGAATTTACAATATTTAATGATGCTATTTGATTCAAAGACCAACTTTTGAATTTAATGTAGTTAAAGCACACAAGGCTTTCAGTTTCTTGAAAAGGAATGACATTTCTACATATCTGGAGTGGGAACACAATAAAATACTTAAGCAACATCAACAATTAGCGGAATCGGTCTTTATGGGTGAATCATGATTTGTCTAAATTTATTTGGACAATTATACTGCAGTTTGTATATCCGGGAATTTTTTTTACACTGGAAACACAAACTGACTTTTAAGAGGCTTAAAAGTCCCCAAAACAAAATAGGAAAAAACTTTCTCAATTTGTTTCCGAAGTAAGATACCGAAATTGACAATTATTGAAGGCAAGATTACTTTACTTTCTGAACTTAGGAAAGGCTTGTTTGGCTATTATGTTTTAAAATCCAATCAAAGTTAATCCATGATGGATAAACTTCAGAATCTCCAGGATGTTTGAGACAAGCACAATAAAGCATTACACAATAAAGTGTAGAAAAGAACAAGAATGAGAAGGTGTGTCACCTGATAACAATGGAGTTGGTGGGCTCAGGTGAGACCCCTTACCTTAGAGAGGCAAGATTGTGGGCCGCCGACAAGTGTTTTGTGTCCTAACAAAAGATATGCATTTTATTGATGGGATAACAATTGAACGTTCAAATAAAGCCTTCAACAATCCATAATGAAATTACACACAAAATCAATTACCTCCAAATCGTATCTATAAATATAGCACTTGATCTCCTCTCTACATAACAATAAGCGAGTTCGGCCACCAGCCGCGAGACTAACTCGCGTCAATCCCGTATTTAGCACTTGCACTGCAACACAATACTATAGTTCTTTAGTACACAATCGTTAATAAATCTATTCTCATCTATAAATGAGAATCAAATTTTGTTGTCATTGCAGACACAATGGCCAGTAATGAATAGTAAAAATACGGCAAGGGAGATGTTTTATGTGCGTACCTAAGCCATTTGTTCAAGCTTTTTTGGATTGGATTTGTAGGTTGGGATACACACCACCAGACAAAATATTGTCATTTCAGATTTAACACGTTTATTTAAAGCTCTATTGTATGTTTATGTAGACCACAATAAAAGTTTATTCAATTTTCATTCTTGCACCTTTGCAAAGTGCTCTTGATAATGTGGACGTTGAGATTTATAGGGCCGCGGGCACACAGCTGCCCCTTGTTCTCGACAGTTTGTCTTATTATTGTATCAACAAAATTGAAAGTAAAAGACAAACAATAAAATGCCGTGAGCTTTTTTTTCCATAAAGACCTGTGAATTCAAACAAAGGCAAGGAAGAAGAAAAATATAAGATTAAACAACGCTATCATACCTACCTTCAATAAATCTCCTCAATTCATCTAAAATTTCTAGTAAAAAGACAATACTAATGTAGGGTAAAGGACTATTTAATTTAAAAGTAATCAGAAAAAAACTGTCTTAGATTCCATGGAGCACAATGGGAAGGGATCAGGCCTGCTAAAAGATTAAATCCATTTTGACATGGATTTTCTGAATGAACTTATCTAAACACGAAAAATATAAGACAAGATTTTCCCCAAAAATTTGATATAGGTATTATCTTTGACAGTACAGACCCATGGGGGTGTTACAAAGGGAAAGCCTAACTCATATCTATTAAGCCTTGTCTGTTCTCCAAGACCCATTGTTTAAAGTAAACTAGAGAGACAAGGATTTTATAATAAAGGATCTATCATTCATGATATTTTACTAAGTTCTGTTAAATAATAATTCTTTGGGAAATTCTGCTAAGTTCTAAAGTTAAAATTTATCCTTCAATATCAAATTCTTCAAGATATAATTATATAATCATCTAATCTCAAACAATCAAACAAAATAAAAAAAGAAGAAATTTCCAATACATATACTTTTCTAAATATTTATGTTGCCATTATCAATATAAAGATAACTTTCAAAAAATACTCTTAATCTATATCTCAGATTAAAGTCTGGAACTTTAACACAGATATCATTTTAAGCTTTATCGTTGGATGAGGAAAAAGATTAAGATTCAAGATTTACATTTTATTGTTTAGACTTGGAGTATCATCAATAAACGATGGGAATTAGCCTGTCATGTTTAACAGTTTCTTCTGGCCATTATACCCTATAATTATCACAAGTTCTTCGATGGAGGGAGGAATCTCCTTTGAAGATAAGGGATCGCACTGTGGGGACATGCTCCTGTACCCCTCCATAGATTTCCTAATGACCCCTCCATCTCATTATAAAATCATTCATCAGAATTTTAATTTCATTATCTTTCAAAAATGATTAATAAAATAACATAGAATGTACCCTTTGTATTATCAACTTTGCTTATCGGCCTTTAGGTGAGGAAAGGCAGACTCCCTTCTTCGTTTGTAATCTTTTATTTCAATATACTGCAGACTGTATGTAATTCATGCTCAGTTGTTATCAAACATATGAATTGTATGTATGATTTTTTGAAAAATAATATCTATTTCCATGCACATTTTTTCTGTTTGTAATAATTTCATAATCTGCAAGGGAGTTGAAATAATAAAAGATCCAATACGTCACTGATAAACCTGCCCCGGCGTTAGATTTATTGCTGTCTCCGTTTCATTATTTGTTACGTGTCACGTCAAAAAAATATTTTATTAATGTCATATTATCTAATAAAAGAGGTTACAGAAAGAAAACTTTCCACAAAATGTCTCTTTCTCTCTCATGCTTAAAATTTCACCCTTGTTAAAATCATATTTAAAATTTATGACTTTAAATTCCACTAATGTTTGCTCATTTCAACATTTAAATGTTCAGCCTACTATTTATTCGATTTTAAAACTAAATAGAATTAAATTAAGAATGTAGAGATATCTGCATTAAAAATCTGATAAGTAATATGAAAGAAAGGTAAAATAATTTCAATTTATTTTTTCCCACAAAATTTTTTTTAAATGATTCAAAAATGAACATTTTATTTTGATAATTAATAAATTCTAAATTCAAATTTAATTATCTTTTTATAAGCATTAATTAAATCTTAAATATTGTGATTATGCAGGTAATAGATATTTTATCTACAGATAAAGCGCACACATTGTACACTAAGTACATTAATTCAAATACCAAACTGTTACATAATGTGCCTGCTAAACTCCTTCTCTGAATGATAAATGTGTATCTCCCTCCTACACTGTATATATTTTAAGACTGGATGAAAATTATTTAAATTATTTTCAAAGCAGTCAACCTTTATATTCATCTGTTCAAGATGTTACTTCAATCTTGTAAAATTAAATTTTAATTTAATTTCAAAGATTAAAAAAAAATTATATTTGAAAAAAAAAATGAAGAAAGAAATTATTAGAATGGCATTAATTTCACGAATTGTTACATACCCATTAAACAAACAAGGTTGATAATCCGAAATTCCTCTGAAATCTTCATGTTTCATTATACATCAGAACAACATCATCAGCCAAAGTCCCCCACTCAAAAAATCAAAAACGACCAAAAAAATTAATGTTCAATTACAGCCAAAAGGAGAGAGAATTTTCGACTCTGAAGATCTTGAGGCTGAGGTAAAGTTGTTTTCTTCCTTGTGTTGTACGTCTTCTAACTAAGTGCACCCCCTTCTTTCACTTCTTGCAACTCAGGTGAGAATACAGGTAAAGTGTAGAGTAGCTGGGTCATTGATAACAGACTCGTCCCTTTAAGTCAATAGCGGGTAGTTTAAGGCTCAAGGTATAATAGGAGACACACAGAAAAACACAGAGGGCTATTGTTAGCTAGGCATCAATCTTCATTGTTAACACGCCTAGCCTTGGATCAAAAATCATATTGGCCCGTTTCTTCGTATGGCATTTAATTTAATTGACCAGTGATTTGATTATCCCAATGAACTTTCAATTCTGTCGATAGTTTATATCAAGATAGGTTGATTTTTAAACAGAAGTAAATTTACATTTGAATCCTGTCTGATATAGGCTTTGAATGCTTTTCTGTCACAATAAATAGGGCTATGTAATACTCGATCCTTGATGCTGTAATACAATAGGGAAAATGAAAGATTGACAGAATTCAGAAATTTGAATTACGACAGAGCAATGTCGTTTATGTTTGCTATTGTTGCAAAATAGAAAAAAATCGGCCGAGAGGACAAAACGTCCCTTGTCCACAGTTATGAATGCACGTCAGGTATCGATTGTGACTTAGGTGTTAATTATTAAGAACACACAGACACACTCAATTTATTATAATACTCATTTTACCCGAAATCAAAATTACGATATGTATCTGAGATTGAATCGTCAATAATATTCTTTGGTCCCAGGTTTTGCGTTAACGCAATGTTATATTAAAGCGCGGGGATTCAAAGCTGCGTCTAATAGAACAACAAAAGTGATAATATTGTCAAGCTCTTAAATCACGCTGTAATGAGTACCAGTCTCGAGGGATCAATGTTGGTAAAGACGCTGCCATCGATGATTGAACAATAGCGAGACTGACGTTGAAACCTATTTCACATCAGACGATTCGACAGGCGAAAATGAACAGACAAGCAAACCCACATACAAATGCAAGCTTGATTTCTGCTGTCAATTTGTATAAGAATGCCAAAATTTACATAAATCACAAAACCGTGCAACAAATGAAATAATGATGCAATTTGCTTCCACATGCGCAAAAATTATTTTTGTGTTCGTTGAAGCGTGGGGAGGATGAGCAAATTTAGATGATAGATGGTCCGGAGCATTAACTGGGCGATTCAGCACAATGCATCAGGATTGATTGGACATCGGTGTAAATATCTAAAATTGCCATCAGCTGCGTGAAAAGCATTCCAATACTGGAAGAAATCAAGAGTATAGCTCCTTACACAGCCTTTGTTGCTAACTATTGTTCTGCCGTTGGAGACTTAATTTTGGTCAATTTATATTGTGAATCATCATAAGAACGAGAAGAATAGGACTCACTTCTCATAAAAATATTATTCTCTTCAACATTACAAAGTACTAAATGTAAATAATAACTAATCAAAAATAAAATTAAAATAACGCACAAGTAGAAGCACTTTTCTTTTTTTAGAATAGTGGAATGCCTTAGCTAATTTTAAACCATTTAGATTAATTGAAATATTAAATAAAAATTGAAGCATTATTTTTTGCTTTTTTCTTAAAATACGAGTCAAAATGAAACAATTCATTGTTTTAAATTGAAATGAATCTGAATCTCCTAGAATTGTGTCTTAATGTTTGCTATGAATTGTCACTGCACTGAATTGTTTGGCATTTAGTAGATAAATTAACCTATATTTCTTAACTTCACATCTATGTAAATGTAATCCAAGAAAAACTTTTCGAGTTCTTTCTATACAAGGATTTTTTTATTTGAGAAAAAAACCCAAGGGAACACTTTCAAGACAATAGATCTTCAAGTGTTTAAGACAAACACCGCTATACAAAAGAGCAGATAAAATAGCTTCACTTCTAGTCCCAGGCAACCCTAGAGATCGGCCTACGCCCTCGATCAATTTCTGGACAAATATTATGACATCTTTATGATATAACAACAGAGGCTTTTTAATTAGACCTTACAAGATTCAGTGTCTACCGCACAGGGAGGTTAGACTTTCACTATATACGGCTTCTTTGTCGGAGTGTCATATACTACACAGACAATTCAATTCCACCTAGATATTGTCTACCCCTGATATTAATGTCAGCTTGATAATGGTATAAATCCCTCTCCCAAAAATTAAAGTGAAAACTCTCGACAAAAGCTACTTAGGTGATTGTATGGGTGATAACATCTTAATGACCTCCAATAATTTAGATATAACAAGATTAAAACTGCCGATCGGGACGTCAGGTGTAGAGGGATACTGCTTCATTTAGTCTAAGAATGTGAAAAAATAGAGGGAGAAACGAACAGGAAGGAATGGTTGACTTCAGATACATACATTAGTTAATACGAACAATAACAATATGAGAAAGCAGTTTTTTCTGCCTTGCTGTCGTCACCCACTGTACAGGGTGGGGATCATGAAATTAAAATTCAGGAGAAAACGTGCATGGGATGGTTATATCCGTAAAATGACAATAGGTGACAACGTGACAGCAACCTTGTACTTAAAGCCTTAAGAGGTATCGTTTTCTCAAAGAAATCATTTGGCCTTACTTCAATACGAGTAAAGAGGAGAAATCGCAAAAGTACACTTTGTAGTGGCAAGAGCAACTCCAGCCTGGATCAGATCACTAGAAGATTTTTCATTTTTTTCAATTTTTTTTGTTGGGGGTCTGGGAAAGGCAAATACACAAAAAACTTTTCAATAGTGTTAAAACAGTAGCAACTCGATATCATAGAGTAGGTGATTACAATAGTATTGGCATAACAATTACAGACACAATACCAGGCTGCTAGAATTTTCATTATCTCGGAATCAAAGCAGCAACACAATGTAATCGCTATAGAACTAAAATGCAATTTTAAGCTCTGTCCTGACAGTCCCATTGTCACCCCCCAAAAACAATGCAAACATTCTGTTTCTTCTTCAACAATACCCACTTCTATCACTCCATCTTCTGGGTTATTTGTTTCAAAGGTTTAAAACATTAACAGGTACTTGTTCTTTTTTGTATTGTTGTAATTAGTAACAGTTCTGACTACTATGACATCAAAACAATGGCCACTTGAAACAAAAGCCCTGAGCATAATTCAGATACACAAGAGCTAGGACTATCGGTTACATTTACGAGAAGATAGGAGTGTTGATTCGGTGAGAAGTACCAGAGGTGAAAACAATAAGAACCGCGCCGCTTGTATCGTACCCTCTTGTCTTCACCCCCTCTCTGTTTGCAGCAACGGACAATGTTTTTGTTCAGCGAAGTGACTTTGCATTGAATTTTGAAATGCAGGAAATTTCTAATAGGCAATATCCTGAATAGATTGTAAATAAAAAAAGAAATGGAGAGATCAGGGATCTTTTGTTTGGACAATGGGCTTCCACCAGTGTGGGCTTCAGCCCTCTTGGTATAGGCAGCCCCTCTGAGAGCTTTTCAAACACTCTGTGCACACATATCACTAGTTTGATGAATTTTCACAGAAGACCACCAATGTTGTTCATAATACAATTTCAAATTCAGCTTTTAAATTCAACTTTTTTCTTGAGATCAGTTGTCATCAAGAGAGTTGACGTAAGGTGAGAGGAGCTTGTAGGAAAGTCATCAGTTTTCATGTACTCTACTTCTCTTGAGAATGGAAAACAAAAGCTGAATCAGAATCTAAGTTCAACTGATCCCTGAATCAAATGCACCCAACTCATAAAACTTTGAAACCTTAATTGATATTTAATTGTAGCTTGAAGTTTTCTAAATTTTGTAATTATCCTAGCTAGGCTAGTGAATTACATTAGGTGTCTAAATTCAAAATCTATACATTAATTACTTCACATGATCCCCCCTCCCCCATCCTTTTTGTCTAAATTTTAAATTACTTTAAAGGGAAGTTTTTCGAGATTCATTAGAACTTAAGTTAAATGTCCCTTTCTAAAGGAAACTTAATATCAATTAAGATTGTTTATACAACGTACTGGTCAAGAAATTCAGGATTTTACAGACAGAGAAATTAACTTGGGAAGGGCCAAATACTTGAGTAAAAAACAACCATGAAAATGTAATTTTAGAATGTTGCCAACTCCTGTGATTTTATTACATTTTACTAAATTTGGGAAAAACTAAAGGATCAGTAAGCTAAACCAAAAGTTACATGATGAGGATTATATTAAAGTCTTTTTTTTTTTAAAGATATTAAATAAATACTTTAAGACTTTTAAACATGAATGAAATTTATTTTTTCTTTAAGTCCACATGAATATTCATGAACAGAAATAATATTTAAAGCATACACTTTCAGGTAACTATGAATTTCCAATGACTGCTTGAAATACCCTGATCTATCTTATACTAATCCTGTTGACAAATAAATATATATAGCATTGTCAAAAATTTGTCATAAAAAATGATCAATGCACTTTGCACCGCTTAAAAGAAATCTTATTTCTGACTAAATGTGCATAGAGAACCCCGCAATAACCATATTATAGAAATTAAATCAGTTCTATATTAATCTTTAAATGGGAAAAGAATTGTAAAACTTCTCTCTTACCTCATCTGATTTCTATGAAAGCACTTTTAGCGACAGAAAACTGAACAAAAATACTCTGAATACATGCTTCATTATTCACATAAATATATGAACAATTTTTTTTTCTAATTTTATTTTTGCCGATAAGAAAACAGTTGCTGGTTAGATTTGCATCTCTATTTCATTTAAAAACTACAAAGCGGCATTTAGTCATAGAGTAGTAATGAAAATCATTATACAAATGTACCTAATTCTGACACAAGAAGAAAATGTATAATGGATTTGGGAAATCAAAGAAAAATAATAATGCATTAATGTTCTCTGAATTCTAGGTACCGTTTGTGGGCTTTATTAACTTATTCTGCTAACAAATCTAAAATAATGATATTACAAGAAATAAAATTTGCCTGAGAACTTTTCCATGATTTTTCCTTGCCTTCCAGATTTGAATATTTTTTAAGGGTGTAGACTACCTTTAAAAAACCAGTTTGTTTTTCTGAAACATCACTCTAAAGGTGGGATATGTACTTTTACATATCAATATAACAATGGTATCTACTGAACAATACACACAATGAGTTTTTTTTC